TCTAGGCTTTGTCACTTCTAGTTTTTTTCATTTCCTTGCGTTGTATGTATAGGTTTTTTCTTTGATGCTTAATTGTGAATGTGTACCTTGTGTATTTTATGTATTAGTATACAAGTTTTAAGAATGTATAGTTGTCTAATTGTTAGGATTTTGGTATCCTTGTAGATGTTAAGTGTTAGTGTTAGGTAGTCGTAGTTATAAAGTGTTTTTATTGCTTTATTTTGCAAGACTTGAATTTCTTGGATATTCGATTTAGAAGCAGTGCCCCATATCTCAATCAGGTATTCTATATGAGGTCTAACTAGAGCGTTATAGATCATTACTCGAGCCTTACTAGGGACGCAAAAGGACATTCGACGTAGTGCATCAATAACAGGAGATATTTTGGATTTAATATATGCAATATGGTGTTTCCATGTTAATTTTGTGTCCAAAAAGAGGCCTAAATATCTTTCACCACTTGATTTTGTAATATTTTCTTTATTTATTGTTAGTTGGATTTGATGGTCAATCTTTTTATTTTTTGCAGCAATGATCATGTATGATGTTTTTTTGGTATTAATAGTTAATAAGTTAGATAGAAACCAGTTGTTTAAAATATTTAAATCATTTTGTGCCTCTTTCACGATACCTATCAGGTTGGGTCCAAAATAAAAGAGACAGGTGTCATCTGCGTAAAGTGTAATGCTGCCTGATGTTTTAACATTGTTTATATTATTAATATAAATTAAAAACAACAGGGGGCCGAGAATCGATCCTTGAGGAATTCTGTATGTTAGTTTAGCAGGCAAACTTACATGGTTTTCAATTTTGACTACTTGTTTCCGGCTTTCTAAGTACGACCTAAGAATTTTATGTGCTGTTCCTGATATTCCTGCATCTCTTAACTTGTTTAAAAGCATATTGTGGATAATTGTGTCAAATGCTTTTTTTATGTCTATAAAGAAACCTAGGACATATTGTTTTTTATCTATAGCATTTTTTATTTTTTAATTCGGAGATTCAATTCAACCGCAAGATCAATAATTGACACACAGCGTTTCGCGGATTCGTTCTACCATAATTTTTCAATCTTTTAATAAAGCCTCTGTGCTTTTTTAATCGACTCAAGGTGAGATTGGGGTTTTACATTTTACTCGAGTTACAGTTAATATCCGAAAAGCACGGTCACTAACCGTTTTTCCGAAACTCCCCAAGAATCATAACTTATCTCCAAAACAACTATACATAGCTATTGCTCTAGTGCGAAATTGAATACAAATGGTAGTTTGATTTATTTCCATACGTTCTATATTTTCATGTAGGATTTTTGTTAAAGAAGAGCTTTACTACAAAGGGTGTGAGGAGCGCGTTATAGATTTTAAAGGTATATATTTATTTCTAAGCTCATGTAACTTGTTATATAAAGTGACAGCACCATCCAACGACTCAGTTAACAACATGTCCTTCTAATTAATGCGATCCAGTTCATATTTTTTGTGTATATATTTTCGATATATCTATTTATTTATTTAAAACTCCCGTATTAGGAATATATCCTGTGTTGCGGGGGTCTTTACAAACATACATGAAACGGACACAAAGAACACCTCGACTCAGAACAACAATTTGTGGACACAAAGTGTCGTCCCATGTGGGGATCGGACCCACAACACTCAGCATCCGCGCAGTCATATATTTTTCTCTAGAGGAACGGCAATCTAAAAAAAAAATTCCTTTCAAGTAAATCAAAATTTTGACTTCGCTTCTAAAATATGACTACAACTTAAAATTTTCGCAATGCGTTCAATGTTAATTCGTACACTGGTCGACACAAGTAAAGGTTAACGGGCTGGTAAGGCCAGAAACCAGCTTAGTTATTAGTAAATTTTGGGCTTCTAAACTTTCATGTAAAATGCAGTAAATGATAAATTATATTTATTTTTGGAAGTAAATCTTTACAGATATTTTTACAAGTCGGACTTTACAGCCAGAAAGAGCTGGCATTATCTAGGACTCAAGCTGGGAAGAAACGTCGAAAACACAGAGGTATCTTTTTTATAGTCCATAAACAAAGTTTAATGAATCTGTGCTAGTGCAGTATAGGTACGCCTTTGGAAGAAAGGACCATAGTTTTAAGTCGGCCTGTTCATACTGACGGCATACAGCCCCCAGCCATCGTGTACCTTATCCGATATTGGTCAACTACCGACACTACCGCCAGCATGACATTGGGTAGGTCGTTGAAATACTCAAAACCTCCAGAAAGATACAAGAAATATGAATTAACATTTATAAGCCTTCACTATACTTCAACTTACATACTTACACAAAAAATATATACAACTAGCTTTTGCCCACAGCTCCGCCCGCGTAAATATCGGTTATCGCGGTACAAAGTAGGCTATGTCTTTCATCGAAAATCAAAGTATCTTCATACCAAGTTTCATCTAAATCGGTTCAGTGGTTTAACCTGAAGAGGTAACATACAGATAGAAAGACAGACAGACAGATACACCATTGCATTTATAATATTAGTATGGATACAATTCATCATCATCATCATCAACAGCCTTTAATAGTCCACTGCTGGACATAAGCCTCTCCTTAGAAAGGAGGTTTATGGATACAATTCAAATTAAACGAAAAATAAACATATTGAAAACACAACAAAAAACAAAATACACAAAAAATTATGAATTACGAATTAAATGTCCATCACTCTCAAACATAACAACAATAATAAGAACGTAAATGTGGGAGTAAGTAGCATCAATCCCAAGCTAATTTGTCATCTAAATAATCTGTAATCGTGTAGCAAGCCTTTGCCATATTTTAGGTTTTACAAATTTAGTCATGAAATTTGATTGGCATTTTATTGAAGAATCGTACACTCTGACATCGAAAAGACTTGCTTACTTTTTGTAGTCTAGTGGTTGGTAACACGAGTTTATGTTTATTTCTGGTGTTTATTTTATGAATGAATAAATATTTTTCTTTACATACACTAAATTTTCACATATGTAGTAACTATCATGATACCAATTTCTTTAAACTTATCCCTCAGTGACTACTGAAGATACTCTGAATGTCAGCAGCATTTCCCAACAACAGAATATCATATGACATTACACTATGAGAATAGCTAAAATACACCAGTTTAGCTGTGCCTACATCGGTTAATTGACGAATTTTATAAACCACGTATGCTGCAGAGCTGAGTCTATTCGACAATGTGTCAATGTGTGGTCTTCACTGCAATTTCTTCGCAACTAAACGTAGTTGTCCGAAGGCAGCGATAAATTCTTAATAAATATTGTGTATGTCATAAGCGTATTTGCTGGTATAATATCGGCATACGTCATATTCTACTATTTGTGGTTCCCGGAATCCACCAATTGAATACGAATAATGTCTCAGTAGGCCCTCGGTCAAGGGTCTGCACACTTCTACACACGGTGTCTCATTTATCAATTTAAATGGCCATTATATCTTAAACATTGAGTATTGGCAACAATACAGTATTATAGAAAGTGCGTATCGAAGGCCATTAGTCTTGTTTAGCTCAGAAGTCATAAAGATGTAATAGTGCGGGACAGATGTGACAGTTATATTTTTATCTTGACCTGCCTTTGGTTTGATGACTTGGAATATGAATATAATTGTGAAAGAGTGTGTGTTTTGCGTAAAACGGTTCCTGATTTTTATATTAAGCTGAAATTATCTTTTTTAGTCTAGGTGTTTGCACATATCTTTTCATGATTTAAGTTTGAGTACAATACTAGCTGTACTCTGCCAGGCTTCGCTATGGTACATTGTATTGATATTGATAAGAATTGAGGAACAAAACTAACCCAGTAAATTGAAAAAAAAAAAACAATATTTGAAGCGGGTTGTATATCGTGTCAAATTTTGAGTTCAATCGGTGCAGATTTTTTTGAGTTTTTGAAGCATACATAAAATCATTTTTATACATATTGGGATATAGAGTATTGCAATTTGTGTAAGTACGGCCGTACGACAATGTACGTATAGATATTATGTAGTGTAAGACTCATTGCGTATAGTAAGTAGTGTAAATAAAGCTCTTCACAATATCTAAATCAGAGAAAATTAAAAAACTCAATCGCTTATTAAGTTAACATTATTTATATTTATAACATTGCGATATTAATTAAAGTTATTTGTTCTGGCTCACAAAAACATCGAATCGACTTAGGGTAATGTTAAAGAACATAGACTGTTTATCGTAATGTATTTATTGACACTGGTGGACGTTTATCATCTGGTCGACTGTGGACTACATGTCAGTTGTTGGTTTTCATTTTAATATATTTAGTATGAAAATATGCACTGTGTGTCTAGTTTTTATTTCAAGTATTGGAATTGTAATATATTTAATCATTTACATATGAAAGAAGAACTGTCGCTTTAATATTTTAGACTTTTTTGTGAAAGGTCCCAATTTCTTTTCTCCTTAGGCGCCGAAATAAATGCATTATCAAAAACGACTATACATTTTGTAAAAGTTTTCTTTTAAACCTGTATTGACATGTAAATATAAGGTTCGCGACTGGTATTAGTTCGACATACGACATTTTACTTTAAGTTTTTTTTAATTTAAGTAAACAAAGATATAATTCTTACTACTCTGTACTACGTATGAATTTGTTTTCTAGAAAATACAATGAGAACCGCTCCGCTGCGGCAGAACCCCACTGCCTTCGTATATCGAACTTATGCCAGTCGCGAACGTAAGGATTAGGAGTCGGTCGTGGATAAAAATAATATAAACAATTAGATCCTGTTATTATTCTACTGTATATATGAATAAATTTCATGTATGAATAAATTTCATGCCTAAATGTATTTTGTAAATAATTTTCATTTATTTTCATATTTCAAAGTTACATATGAGTTCTAAATGATAAATATAATATATAATCTAAGTGTGTGAATATGATTGGTGAGTTCTCTCCAATATAATGTTTGAAACTACATAGGTTTATACTTTTCAGGCATCATTCACCTTTGATCTTTGTCACAAAGTTGATAAGAGGGTTTATTATGATAATAATGGTGAAACATGCTGTAAAGCCAATAAGAGTATAGCCGACTCCATCTCCCAATATTCCTCTGAAAAAAGACTTCTCGAACCCGTGGCAAAGAGTGATGGAGGCCATACTGAATGCCACGACTCCGAAACAAATATGAGACAACTTGGAAAGCTTGCCGAGGATAGGAATTAACTTTCGAATTTCATAAGCCCATAGAGATGCCAGCCCATTCACCAACGAAATTGTTGTGAATACTAAGGCCACCAGACCTGTAAAAGAAAATAAAATGTAATTTTTATTGCTGATTTGCATTTTGGATATTTTTTTAGAAAAGTTTAGAAAAATAACATTTGAAATAGATAAAATTCGTGCTGTTATCATTGCGCCCTTTAATACAAGACCTTGAAGCCCTTTAATACATACTTTAATACATTCAAGGCCTTGAAGACCTCAGAGCCCTTTAATACAAAAATCTATAACGGTGAATAATTCTAATGTAAATGTTGCGCAGGCGCAGACTGAGTATCAACTCAGATACAAAGGTTTGCAATAAAAAGGGATTCAAATGTATATGTTTACATTTAAGTATAATAATTATTTTTTTCAGTTTTTGTTACTGACAACACAAGTGACGTTTTTAGTACGTATTATATTTTACTTATTCACACACAATTCTATCTTCATTCAATTCCGTTTAGCTGTTCTGATGAAATTGAGTAACAATAAATGTGCATCCATCGCTTCTTCCAAACTTTCATGTTTATAATATTAGTATTAATCGTCTCTGTCTAAACCTTCGGGATAAAGACGAGAGTATAATAATATAGTATATTTAGAGATCTTTCTGTAGTTGTAAATTGAATCTTATTACTTGATATTTCAGAGTATACCTTATTTAAAACTTATTTACTATAAATATTTAATTTGTAATTGTTCTGTGTAATTCCATTAAAAAAAGTTTTCAGCAAGACGACAGATTGCTCGAAATTAAATTCAGGTGCTTCCTCCACAAATATCGATAAAGCTTCTAGTATAATTTACAGTGAGATTGATACCATTTATTCAGTACAACTGACGGTGATGTCGCATAGTGAATCATTATTTGGTTACATAGTCATACACAAATTTTAGGCACGACTATTTGTCATATTGATGTATTTTGATTTAAATTCATGACGAATAATTTAAAACATGTCTGTATTGTTTAAAATCACGTGCTAGTATACTTTGAATTCAAGTATTTTAGACATTATAGAGACTTTCCGTATCACAACAGACCAACGAACAAGTACAGTAAATATAAAGATCTATAGATTATTTTAACCCTGTTCGTAAATTTTATCTAAAACTTTTAACATATATCGATTAAACATTTTAGCACTACTTCTTCATAGGTATGAAGTTTAAGTAATTCAAGATAAAAATGTTAAAGGCGCTAAATGTCCTTAATAGAGAATACAATAACTGTCATTGCGGATTAATTTATAGAAATTATTTTAATAAAAAAAATCACAGAAATGCTTAGAAATGAAAGATGCATCCGACCCACCCACCTCACAAACAATACATTCCTGAACGAATTAAGCATTTAGTCACTAAGAGTTTACTCACCAAATTGTCCATGATAGGTATCAAAATGAACACTCTTGTCTAAAATCTTAATAAAAGTGCCAGCTATTGCCAGACCAGATCCGAGGATCTGCAGGATCCAATGAGCTCGCCTTTTGTCAACTATTCTAAGATGTATTGACCAGCTGTTATGTGGAGATAGGCTGAGTATGGCCTGTGCCATTAACAGTTGATACTGAAAAATTTACAATAAAATGCTTTTAAATAAAGTACTATTTCTTGATAAGTTTTTTAGGCTAAGTGACTGATAATAAATGTAGGCTTGTCTATCGCGCTCTACATGATTGAAATGAGTTAAACAACTTTCGTGAGTGATAAGTTACGACCGGATTATTTGCATTTCCACATGAATTTCCACATTTAATTTATTTTCAGCGGTCACTGCATATTTAAGATCTTGTGATGATTTATATTTTCGCTATATTTACTCCTCCTTTAATATTTATCCTTTTTCTATTTTGTAAAATAGTAACAAAAAAATCACTAATTTACACTATGATTCCTTTTTTTTTTTAAGTTGAATTGACTGGCTAAATCTAAAAGTACTAACATAGCACCCAAGTCCAAATACTGTCTGATGATTTGTGATCTCTGCGTATGGCGTGCTTAACATGAAATACATTTTGAATGATCGAACATACAATATTACTACTGAACATTTAGAAAAATACCTGACTGTTTACGTTTACGAAAATGTTAAATAATTATTGGTCATGTAGTAGCATTATTTTAGTCCATTTTCGTTTTCTTAATCGGTTCATTTCATTTTTTTTAAGGAATGTTAGAAAGTGACTATTGTCGACTAGCGCCTGCAACTCGCCAGTCACAAACGCCTTGCCGGCCTTTTAGGAAGGAGTACGAATTGATGTTGCATATTTTGCCGATTTTCAGGCATATTTACCGCGATAACCAATATGGACAAAAGCTAGTAAGTACTAAATAAAGTGATCCGACTAGAAAAAGCACTAAAACTGAAGTGGACACTATACGGTGAAAAATAATTATTGATTGCAAACTTAACTGAGAAAGCTACAGCTGAGATAACATGTGAATAAAGCATACATGTAAATCTGTTGCTTAATTTCAGGCAAAATAACAAACACACCACATGTTCCCTTAATTTTTGGTTTCAATAGTTATTCCTCAGATATAACATCTGACTCAGACTTGGTGACAATAGGATCCTCTTGGGAGCACACAAATTCAAACAAAATATAATATTTTTAGTACCTATCCTTATTACACAAATATCTGTAAACGGTAAAAAGAATGCATACCGCTATTATAGAACCTTTTTTGTTTGAAAGTCGGTTAATAACTCAGTAATTTGAACATTTGCTTTGTCAGGAGTCGTTAAGTTCATAAATTACGGCTGCATTAATAATAATCATAATGACAGCTCTACTCGACATGTTTCAACAGTAAATAACAAAACACACAGAACTTAAATATTTAAAATGTCAATGAGCATGAAAACGAATCCTTTTTCCGTTGCTCATCCTTATAATTTCCTTAAAACTTTTACAGTAAGGTCAACAAAACTATTTACCGATCAAACATCAACAAAAAACATTACTGCAAAATAATTTCGAAAGATATATTATTTTAAGAATCTCAGTCTTAGTCTCAATTTAATAAGATTTACATTACTTCTATAGCTGAATAACTTTATGAACACATTGCCTATATTGTTAATACATTAGTGTTGACATTAGTATCCAAAAATACTAAAAAGTCAAGTATGAAAAAATTAAATTCAAGATGTTACTTGAGTATCTACTGCCCTTTTAAGACGTTGGTTGGTTCTAAAAACAAAATTATGAATTAAATGGCGTTGTGTGTCAGATGTCCAAAATATTATTATTATTAAACTAAAGTGGATTAAAGTTGTGAATAAAAATTAAAAGTAAATACTTACCCCGAGAACACATAACGTGATGTGTTGTGGTGTGGCTCCACTGGGTACTCCATCATTGAATACGAAGATGAGAGCTCCACTAACTACCAAACATATTAACAATTGAGCTAATAAGTAAGAACACGATTGGAACACCCTTAGTTTATTATTATCTTGGTTCTCTGAATGAAGTGCAGATAAAGGTTGCAAAGAATCAATTCCATTTGTAGTCATATTATTTTGAATATTCGTGTTGTTTATTAAAAATAACAATAACTTCCAGGTGCAATTCAAGATATCAACTGTTGTCAGTGGAGTCGGACGAATTACTAATATCTGTAGATAACTTTATCAGAATTGGTTCTACTTTTTACAGCACTGAATTTTTTTATAACAATATAATAAATTAGGGTTACGGTAGACAATAAAAGAAAGAAATACTTATCAGGACGCCAACCTTGCGTTTAAACAAATTCAGGAATTCGTTAACACATGCAGAACATGAGATGACCCAATAAAGTAGACAGTAAAGTCGAATCGGACAAAATTGTTGTTAATTAAAATGCGGAATACGGCAATCAAATATACTCCTATATAACATTTTAGTTAGGTATGTATATATGTATTTGATTATCTGAATTCGAGTTTCAGCTTCTTTACATTTATAATCCTTCTCAACGGGGATGGATAAATGAAATATATTATAATATAATAACACATAAGCTGTTTAAAAATCAAAAATAAATACTACAATAAAAAATAAATAAATTGAACCATTCATTTTGTTTTATTTCCTCGTAGTTGATTAAGAAATAAAACAACTTTAAAATGAAATAATATTTTGATAAGAAAACATATCTAGGTTGTTTGTAAGTTTTGTACAACAAAAAACGATTAACCAATTTTTTTTCCTGATAAGGTAGTTTACACAGTAGGAAGAAAACTGACGGTTTTGTACCTTTTGTGTGTAGATATTACTATATCGGCATTCGAATTTCCAAGAGTTTTGCATATTACTTGGTAGTAAGTTTACTAATGAAATTAGTCTCCAAACCTGTAATATACAACATTGGTACTTGAACGCTACCAATATTGTGTATCGTCATCGTATCGTATGTTATTGTACATAGTTGCATTAAAGAACAAACTTAACTGAGCCTTTCTCAAAAACTTCTCTATTTCTTGACATACGTTGTAGTTAAGCCTACGAATAATGCGTAGAGTAAAGCTTACTTTTCAAGAACATTGCAAGCCAAATGACCAAACCTTTAGTTTCATATAATACATATATTTATTGCATTATAATATTTGGCTAGTACGGGTATTCGCACCGTTTATAAAGGTTTGTTTTTGTTGCGTATCTAGCTTATTGCTATTGTGTAGCGTATATATACACATATTTTTGGTCGAGTATATAGCCAATTTCGGTATTTATATACAATTATGATGAACTCTTAATGAAAAAAATAAGAAAAATAAGTAGGTAAGCTAGTTACTGGCAATCTTGATGTGATGTGGAAAACAAATGTTTATTGGATGTTCTTCTACCTCACATGCACATAAATATTTTTTTAAATGTTGAAAGTCTGAAATTATAAGAGCTGTTGCCTGTGGGTGTGCAGTTTTTTTTACATAACTTTTTAAGTCCTAATATCGGAAGTCCGAAAATATTTCTCTCACCATTTTACATCATAATGATCACTCTTTATTACTAACGATCGAAACTCATCATCATCAGAATTCATAATATCACTGATCATAAAACTGGTTTACACTAATATTTGTTTTCATATATTTTTTTATACTAATGATCGAAACTTCTAATCATTCTAATACAAAACGCCAATATTATATACATACATTTGATTTATATTTGTTTTCATATATTTCTTATCAAATGTGTTATATAACTTTATAACTTGCAACAACAAACTACTTGCTAGTTTTTAATAACGGATAACGTTATTTAAAGCTAACAAGTTATTATAAGCGTTATCCTTCATTTAAAGTGTTGTGTACCTGCAATGGCAAAAATTAAAGGCTGCAGAACCGAACAATTTTTTTAACTAATACTGACATGTAGTAGAATAATCACCCTTCTATGTCTAAGTCTCTGCGTCTCTGTAATTAACTAACATTTGGACTTCTCTATCTCTGTAAATATTGATCTGAGAGAAAAATATGTTATGATTAACAGCTTATTTCTGTTAGAAGGGCTAGAAGCACTCCTAAATTACAGCTAGAAATAAATAGATATCATCACAAATAGTTGTTATTCTTGAGTTGCATTTATATTTTTCACTAAATAATTAACGAAAAAAGTTAGTTCTAATTTTGAATAGTTACCTATATGATAACTGTATTATGAGTTCAAACATGTTCTTATTAATGACATGTAAGATAAATGCATGCAAATGCATTATAAGATAATTTAAAAACATATGCTTTGAGCACAGCTCATGTAAACAATTTTATTGACTCACGAAATTCAAATAGTGGAATAAAAATATTTTCAAAATATAATAAAACTAGCTTTTTTCAGCTTCTCCGCCGGCGTGTATGTCGGTTATTGCGTTAAAAAGTAGAATCTTGTTTTTGCAGACATCCCCTCGGATACCACCCACCGGTGGTTATGTCAGACTCGAACCGACCCCAAACCGCACGCCGTCTCGGGTACCAGTTGGCGGGGAACCAGGTGTACCCTAGGAAGGAAATCCCTGATACCCCAACGTACCTCAGGCCATCTACGGCGTGTAAATGACCCCTTCCTGTGTGGGAACCCCTATGTCCGCAGCGCATCTCGCTACTACCCCGGTCTGCTTCTGCTAGGGTGACAGATGGCCTCACCTACCCCCTCAGGCTTGTGCTTATGGAGGACGGAGGTCATTTAGAAGGAGACGGCGGAGTTCCACGAACACTCACTCCGTACCATCATCGCAATCATCTTACTAAGCGACAGAATTACCACTCTGATAGCCGCCACGAGGCAATGCCTCTGCTCCACCCACGCCGGGCTTTCTGCCAGCGTGTGGAGCGCTGTGTCCACGGCCCGGCCATCGCAGTGGTTGCACTCAGGCGTTGGCTCTTTGCGGATCAGACACAGGTGATCTCCGAAACATCCTTTCCCGGTGATCACCTGCCATTCTTACTTCTGCTGAGCATTCTTAGCGCCGCGATAACGGCGTGCCTACGTAAAAAGGAGCCTGTGTTACTTGCTGATACGAGTAATGTAGCTTTCCATTGATGAAAGAATTCTTAAACTCGATTTAGTGGTTTAGGCGTTAAAGCGCAACAAAAAAAGAAACAAACAAATACACTTTCAAATTTATCAAAAATATAAGTAGGTACCTACTTAATTTAAATAGGTATTGTGGCAACTCGACACATAAACATACTACAGCGCCATCAAATGAAGACACACCGAACTACGGAGTAACTACTAAAATAAGAATTGCTAATCCTGTATCGCGATATAAAGAATTCCCTCGCCGGTTAGCATATACAACTTCCCATTCCCCCATCCCCGTCTCATCAACCGTTGGGCCGCGGCCCGCCAGCAATGATCACCTCGCCTGGTCGGAGGATCCTCCCTTTCTGTTGGAGGGACATGACACCCGTTCCTCCACAGTGGTGACCCCGACGTGATTGGAAGCAGCCTTCAAAAGGAGCAGATCATCAGCAGCACCATCGTCTACACTCCCACAGCGATGAGCAGTAATTCTCAGCAAGTCTCAGCCAGCCAGCAACCTCAGCCTCTACAGGGATACCACACGCAGGTAGCGACCGCTCCTGCCTGGTTACCTCTACGGCCTCATCAGCGTCTAGGCACAGCACACTGCACCTACGGAACACGTAAGAAGAGCATTTTCTCTCCCGTCTACGCAGCAGCCAGCCATTATGCAGCAACCGCCCCGACTCACTTGGGTCTTCACCGCAGCACCGCGCACCGCACGCCATCCCGACTCACTGGGATCAGCGGACTTCAGCCCCGACTCACTGGGACTAGCGGCACTCAGTTCCGACCCACTGGAACAAGCAGCACTCAGTTCCGACTCACTGGAACTACTCACTACTGGCACTGGCACGCTCCACAACAGGGCATAGACAGCTGACTCATGATATATCGACCTCCGGTCTTGGAGGGGAGTGATGTGGCAACTCGACACATAAACATACTACAGCGCCATCTAATGAAGACACACCGAACTACGGAGTAACTACTAAAATAAGAATTGCTAATCCTGTATCGCGATATAAAGAATTCCCTCGCCAGTTAGCATATATACAACTTCCCAACATCAACCGTTGGGCCGCGGCCCGCCAGGCATGATCACCTCGCCTGGTCGGAGGATCCTCTCTTTGTGTTGGAGGGACATGACACCCGTTCCTCCACAGGTATGGATGTATATTTTTCAAAATAATCAAAAATATCTATCGTATGCAAACACTACATGATCGATCTTTAAAATATTGGTGTGGGGCATTTAAGCACCACTGAACCCGATTTTCAATTAACGTATCTATGTCGTGATGAAAGTTTTAAATACTATAGAATACACTTACATTAGATCTAAAGTGTTACTTAAATCCCAGATTTGTTACGCAGATTGAAAGGTATTAAGATACCTTTTATTTAGTTCACCCATTATCGTCTTTGTATCGTATCAAGATAAAACACGCTTCTTTGAATTTGCTTACTTATCCCACAAGCATTGAAGCCGTTTATCGCTAGTCTACTTTTACTTTGTTTACGTATTTGATTCTAAATAGCAAAGAAAATAAGAATAGGATACATATTCTTCATACTGATAATCGCAAACTTGATTCTTCCTTAAAAAAAATAATACAGTTTTGCATCAGCAAGCGTACTCATTATTAAACACGACAATTTTAGTTTTACTTCGATTTTAAACAATTCCGTATAGAATGTTTTGTAAGTGGATAAAAAGATTAAAACTAATTCTATTTTACTATCAAAAACAAGGTTTTAAATATACCGTTTACATTTCTTGTAACTCCGGTGACTTTGACCGTTACTATTTTAATTTTAAATCGTCACTAGAACCTCAAGTACATATTTATAAAGTAACAATCTCGAAACTAGTAACTAACCAGGCAAAAGTAAAATACAGTGACTATTTTACTTTTGCCTTTTTAGTTACTAGTTTCGAGATTGTTACTTTATAAGTATGTACTTGAGGTTCTAATAACGTTTAAAATTGACTCTTGATCTG